ATTCAAAGCCACTGTTTCCATTTTTATTTTCTCTTTGGATGATCTGTCCATTGATTTAAGTGCAGTGTTAAAGTCCCCTACTATTTTTATATTACTATTGATTACTTCCTTTATGTTTTATATTTTATAGCTGCTTTCTGTATTTGGTTGCTTTCATGTTGAGTGCATAAATATTTACAATTGTTATGTTTTCTTGTTGGATTATTTCCTTTATGATTATGTAGTGTCCTTCTTTGTCTCTTGTTATACTCTTTGTTTTAAAAATCTAGTTTGTCTGATTAGAAGTATTGCTACCCCAGCTTTCTGTTCAGTTCCATTTGCATGATAAATGCTTTCCATTCTTTCACTTTCAATCTGCTTGTGCATTTAGGTCTTATATGAGTCTCTTGTAGGCACCATATAGATGGTTCTTACTTTTTTATCCATTCCATGACTCTGTGTTTTTGATTGGAGTGTTTAGCCCATTTACATTCAGAATAATTATTGATAGGTATATAATTATTGCCATCTTGTTACTTGTTTTATGATAGTTTTTGTAGTTCTTCTGTGTTTCTTGCTTCTGTTGCTCTCTTCTCTCATGGTTTGTTGGCTTTCTTAGTAATATACTTGGATTCCTTTCTCTTTATATTTTGCTTATCTGCTACTGGTTTTTGATTTGTGGTTACTATTATGTTTGTATATAAAATCCTGTTCATATAGCAGTCTATATTAACTTGATGGCTGCTTCAGTTTGAACACATTCTTTACTCTCCCTCTCCCCCACGTTTTAGGTATATGGTGTCATATTTTACATCCTTTTATTTTGTGAAACCTTTCACTGATTTTTACACATATATTTATTTTGCTGCTTTTTTGTGTCCATTTTTCTTACTCATAGTTAAGGTCTTTTCTTTCTACTCAGAGAGTCCCCTCTAACATTTTTTGTAGAGCTGGTTTAGTGGTTAAGACTTTCTTTAATTTTTGTTTGTCTCAGAAACTCTTCACCTGTCCTTCTATTCTGATGATAGCCTTACTGCATGGAGTATTCTTGGCTGCGGGTATTTTTCTTTCAGCACTTTGAATATATTATGCCACTCCCTTTGGCCTGCAAAGTTTCTGTTGAAAAAATGCACTGATAGCCTTATGAGGTTTCTTATGTACTTAAGTATCTTCTCTTGCTGTTTTTAAAATTCTCTTCTTATCACTACTTTTTGCCATTTTAATTACTGTCTGTCTTGGTGTGGACCTTTTTTTTTTTAATGTTTATTTATTTTTGAGAGAGAGGGAGAGAGCGCAAGCATCAGCAAGAGAAGGGCAGGAAGAGAGGGAAACAGAATCCAAAGCAGGCTCCAGGCTCCGAGCTGTCAGCACAGAGCCTGTTGTGGAGCTCGAACTCACAAACTGCGAGATCATGACCTGAGCTGAAGTCAGATGCTTAACTGACTGAGCCACCCAGGCACCCCTTGGTGTGGACCTTCTTACATTGACTTTGTTGGGGGCTGTGTCTCCTGGATGTGGATTTCTGTTTCCTTTCCCAGATTAGGGAAGTTTGCAGCTATTTTATCTTCAAATACATTTTCTGACTCCTTTTCTCTCTCTTCTGGAATCACTATGATATGAATTATTAATTATCCTTGATGGTGTCACTGAGTTCCCAAGTCTATTTAAAAAAAATTTTTTTTATGTTTATTTATTTTTGAGAGAGAGTGTGAGCAGGGGGAGGGGCAGAGAGAGACAGAGTTAAGAATCTGAACTGGGCTTCAGGCTCTGAGCTGTTGGCACAGAGCCTGACTGTGGGGTTTGAACCCACAAGCCATGAGATCATTACCTGAGCTGAAGTTGGATGCTTAACCAGCTGAGCCACCCAGGTGCCCTGAAGTCAATTTTTTATTATTTTTCCTCTCTCCCCTTCGGCTTGATTGCTCTCCATTCCTCTGTCCTCCTGGTTGCTGATCCATTCCTCTGCTTCCTTTAGTCTACTATTTATTATATCGAGTACATTTTTTATTTCAGTTATAGAGTCCTTAATCTCTGATTCATTCTTTTTTTATGTTTTTTATCTCGATGTTAGGAGTCTCACTGAGGTCCACTGTTTTCTCAAGTCCAGTGAATAATATCCTTATGGTTATTATTTACTTGTTAATTTATATTTTAGAGAGCATGCATGTGCAAGTTGGGGAGAGGGGCATTGAGAGAGAGAGAATCTTAAGCACACTGTACGCTCTGTGTGGAGCCTGATGCAGGGCTCGATCCTACAACCCTGAGATCATGACCTGATCTGAAATCAAGAGTCAGATGCTCAACCAATTGGGCCACCCAGGCGCCCCCATCCTTATGATCATTACTTTAAATTCTCTGTTAGGTATATTACTTATTTCCATGCCTCTTAGTTCTCTTGCTATGATTTTCATCCTGTTCTTTCATTTGAGACATATTCCTCTGTCTCCTCATATGTTCTAATTCTGTGTCTATTTCTTTTTTAGGAAAGTCAGCTGCATTTTTGGCTCTTGAAAGTAGTGGCTTTATGAAAAAGAGGTCTTATAGTGCCCTGTAATTCAATGTCCCCTGTTCTCCAGAACATGGCACTTCAGGGGTGTCTCCTATGTGTGATATATATGCTCTGCTATTGTGGCTGAGTGGCATTTACCTTTAATTCAGTTGTCTGCAGTGGCTCTCTTTGCCTCTCATAGGCAGGGTTTGGACTCTGTGTTGTTGGTGGGCTGGTCTGGGGCTGTCTTGGGCTTGGGTTGAGTCAGACCAGGCAGTTACTAGCAATGCAGTAACACCAAAATGCAAGGCGCTGTCCCTTTGTTTTCTCCTGAGAAGCTTTCATTGGTGGGCAGGGCCTATAGTCAGACCAGGTGTCTGCTCCCAGCCCACTGCTGGGGTGCAGTCGGACTGGCTGTCTGCCCCTCAAGCATGAGTCACTTTGGAGGGATGCTAGTCCCTTTTGGGGCTCCTTTCAGCCTGCCAGTCTTATGGTATCTCTTTGGATGGGCTCTCCCAGAGGCATATTGAAAGGTAAAGGTCCACAGGAGAATGTGGGTGCAGGGTGCAGGGTGTTAGCAAGGTGTGCATGGGTCTGCTGTTGGAGGATGACTGGTATAATGCCTGGCTGGAGAGGATATGCCTGTGGAATGTGGGGCAGGTTGCACCATTAGCAGGCTAGGTGGAGAGTATTGGCACTATACTGGTTTCTTATAAGTATCCATGTGCCTACACTGCTGGACAGGGCAGTATTGTGGTGCCTGCCAATTCTTCTGCTCCTGGAGAAGTCTCCCAACATCCTGCTTGCACAACTCTGAGATTAATAAACCACTCTTCTTTATGCCCCAGACATTTTTCAAAGTGCTGCATCTGTTTTGCATCTCTGCTGGGCTATTTGTTGTGGTCTCTGTTTAAGGGTGGTGACAGTATCCTATTGCTGTTTTGCTTTCCTAGAGCCCAGCATGCTGATTTTTAATGTTCCGGTGTTAAGCCCCACTGATTGTTAGATTGTGTGAAATTATGCCCCTATTGTTTTCAACGCCAAATGTTATGGGGGATTCATCTTCCCCGTGAGGGTTCCCTGTGCCTGGTGTAAGGGTCTGTTTCTTCCCCCTCTCCAAACCATGGGTGTCCTCCCACCACTCCACACATTAGTCAGTCCCACAGGTCCTTTTAGCTCCTGACCATGTCTTCACCTTCCTATGTGGCCTCTTCCTTACATTTAGCTGTGGAGAGTCTGTCCTGCCAGTCTTCCAGTGATTTTCTGTATTATTTACATTGATGTGGCTGTTACCTACTTCTATCCATGGGAAGAGGTGAGGCCAGGATTTCTTAGAAGTCCCCATGAATTATGCAGATTCTTTTTTTTTATTTTATTTTTTTAAAATTTATTTATTTTTGAGACAGAGCATGAACGGGGGAGGGTCAGGGAGAGAGGGAAACACAGAATCTGAAACAGGCTCCAGGCTCTGAGCAGTCAGCACAGAGCCCAATGCGGGGCTCGAACTCATGGACCGCGAGATCGTGACCTGAGCTAAAGTCGGACGCTTAACCGACTGAGCCACCCAGGCGCCCCTACAGATTTTTAATTAGCTCAGTCATATAGATTCCCAATCCATGGCACGTTAAAAACGGTTTATCAAAAGGAGGTATGGTAACAAGAACACTACCACAAGGTGCAAGATGCAAGTACTGATGGAAATAAGGCTATAAGCACAGAAGAGTAAAAGAAATGAAAACTGTTCTTTGAGTTGCAGTAGTCTCACTAGTAAGTAGTAGCTTAGTAAATGTTACAAGTGATATCAGCTACTCTCTAATCTGGGCAGAATAAGCATAGTGATACTCTTACATAAGACTAAAGATGGAGGGAAGGATGAGAAGTGTTCTTCTAGTCCTGTCTAGACTAGATGTAGGTAGAGTCACAGAAATCTCTTTTCCTGTGGACTGAGTCATAAAGGGGAATAAGATAATGCCCTATTTTCATATTCACACATTATATACAATTTTTAAAAAGAGCAATAAAATCAAAGAAAGCTCCAAGAGTGTACAATCTTACTCACTGTTGAGTCCTCAGAATTCATTGCAACATCTGATATTTAGTAAGTAATTGATTAAGTGGATGAAACAAAGCTGAAAAGTAACGGTCAATTAGAAACTAAGTTATAATCCATCTTTGACAAATTGGTAGAAAAACATGTTTTTATAGATGTTTAAGAAAATATATCTATTAAATGAAAGCAAGTATGTTTGCCTGCATTTTGTCTGTGTTCCAGAGATGTTTAGACCAACGTGGATACTGCTGTTCAGTAAGATGCTGTATTCGTAGTAGAAAATCTTTAATGGTGGAGCTGCCTGTTAACCCAGATTATTATACAATCTGTATAACCGGATTTTGCACTCCAGTTCTTTTGAAGATGGTTCTGGTTTTTAGTAGAACATTATTAATTGCTGCATTTTAGTAAACCCTTGAGTACCTTTAGCTATACTTTTGACATACATTTTAAAAAATGAAATGTAATGTTTATATTTTGTAGAAAATGGTTCTCTCTACATAGTGATGGATTACTGTGAAGGAGGCGATCTGTTTAAACGAATTAATGCTCAGAAAGGCATTTTGTTTCAAGAGGATCAGGTGAGTTAGCATGTAGGAGATTGACTCTTACTCCTGATTATTGAGAAGCAATTCGAAGTTTATTTATATGTGTATTTATTTGTAAGTACAAATGCTTAATTGTAATTATTAGGACAGTTTTGTATCAAAATTCTAATATTTCAGTCACATTTCTGTTCTAGTTTCTATTAGTTCCCTGTCTGTTCTAATTAGTTTCTATTAGTTCCCCATCTCATTTCTTGTCTATAATATTATTATTATATTTGTAATATATTTATATCCTTTGCGTGTGTGTGTATAAATGCATATATTTATGTATATAACTTAATTATTCATTATGACTATTTTATATTCTGTCAATTTGGCTTACTGCTACCAGACCATATTTTCCTACAATGTGGCTTTCCTAAGTAATTGTAGCTCTGGAGGCCTTGCATTGGCAACTACATTCAATCTAATATCTGTTTTGACCTCAGACATCTCTAAAATATGACCCTGTCCTACCTGAGCAGTCTTTTTTTTTTTTCCTAATGTTTATTCATTTTTGAGAGACAAAGCGTAAGTGGGTAAGGAGCAGAGAGAGAGGGAGACACAGAATCGGAAGCAGGCTCCAGGTTCTGAGCTGTCAGCACAGAGCGCGACGTGGGGCTCGAATCCACAAACTGTGAGATCATGACCTGAGGGGAAATCAGACGCTTAACTGACTGAGCCATGCAGGCACCCCATCTTATTTTTTTTTCTAGTATTCTCTAATATGCACCCCTTCTCATTTAACAAATATTTATTGATCATTTATTCCCTGTTTGGCACTATTTGTGTTAAGGACACGTTTATATATCTCATTTTTCCTGTGTATTTATTATTTCTTTTATTTTGGTAATACTTTCTTGCCAACTCTCTATTATTAATATTCTACCTTTTTTTTTATTACCGTTCAGCTCAAGTCCCAGCCTTTCCTTTGATTTTCCATAAGCACTCTAATCTGTGATCTTTTCCTTCTCTAAATTTCTATTGCAGTTCTCATTATCACCCATTCTTAATTTTTATTATGTGCTTTTACAAAAGGAAATGGGGAGAGCCTTGTGCTAGGAATGTTATATTTTTTGTCTCTTTTAAACTTTATAATCCCCCATGAATTGTGTAGTTTATTTACTAGATAAGAAATCTAACACGTTAAGTAGCTTGTCCCAAATTGTATAGTTAGTGTTTGAACTTACTAGTATCTAACTCCAGAGTTTATTAAATATTTGTTTACAGGCTTAAATTGTAAAATTATTAAAAGGTTCAGAAATGGAAATAATTCTTTGCCCACTGTTCCATCCCTGAAGATTACTACGTTTTTAGGTGTCTTTTTCCAAATTTTCTTTTTCATACTTGCACATGTACATATATACATCAAGACACAGATATTCAGACATGGAATATTATACATTGCATACTCTATCTTGCTTTTGTCATTTAACAATTACCTTGAGTACCCAACTTATAAACTTATAAATAGAACAAACTGCTGGTTGCCAGCAGTGGCAGCAGTGGCAAGGGGAGGGATGTTTGGCAAGATGGGTAAAAAGCAGTGGGTGATAGGGGCTTCCAGTTGTAGAATGAATAAGTTACTGCAATAAAAGGCACAACATGAGGAATAGAGTCAGTGATATTGTAATGGCAATGTATGGAGATAGATGATAGCTACGTTTGTAAACATACAAACTTATCAAATCACTATGTTGTACACCTGAAGCTAATGCAACAGTGTGTATCAACTATACTCAAATTAAAAAAATATTTAGAAAGCAAGGGAAATGTTATTTATAATACAAGGGAAAAAATACAGGCTGTGTTAAAAAATTATCTTGATTATTGTCACATGTTTGTCCATGTTGATCAATTGTATTTGTTTTAATAGCTACATTATATCCCATTCCAGCAAAGCCTATGCTTTTTTGTTTCTTTAGGCAGCTATTTCAGTATCTGTAATGAATGTCTGTCTGTATTTTTTCAAAGTGGATATCATGGTCTTATATTTTTAATTTTTTAATTTTAATTTTTTAAAATTTATTTATTGTTTAATTTACGTCCACATTAGTTAGCATATAGTGCAACAATGATTTCAGGAGTAGATTCCTTAAGCCCCTTATCCATTTAGCCCATCTCTCCCTCCCACAAGCCCTCCAGCAACCCTCTGTTCTGTATATTTAAGAGTCTCTTATGTTTTGTCCCCCTCCATGTTTCTGTATTATTTTTACTTCCCTTCCCTTATGTTCATCTGTTTAGTATCTTAAATTCCTCATATGACTGAAGTCATTTATTTGTCTTTCTTTGCCTTCACTTA